TTTTAGCCATGTATGGTAATATACATCTTTATTCTCAGCAGTCAGGATGCTATGGTAAATAGATCTCTATGAGCTGGAGGTCAGCTTGGCCTACATAGAATTCCAGGCCAGCCAGGGCTATGTAGTGAGATACTGTTAAAAAAACAAACAAAACAACAACAGCAGCAGCAGCAAAACTAAAGAATTCTTTTATTTTTATCATATATTGCCTCTTTTATAAATAAAATGGAAAAGGTGAATAAACAAATAGGCTAAGGTGTTATCAAAGTACTTCATATTCAGAACCAGACATTTATAAATTACTTTTTGACTCAGATCTGATAGTGGCACCATGACACATAACCTGAATCCTAGAACGTGGGATGCAGAGAGGAAGCTCTTTGCAGGTTCTAGACCAGTCAGGATTACACAGTGAGCCCCATCTCAAGAAACAAACAAACAAACAAACAAAGTTGTATCAAGAAGACTAGGAATGGGGCGGCAGCACTGGCAGTGTGTGACACGTCCTGACATCCCAACACTGCGAGACTAAGGAAGGAGTCACACAGGAACACCTGTCTCAAAACAGACAGACATGAATATAACGAAACACTCTATGAAAGAACCCATAAGAAAACTAATGTCAGGCTTGTTTTGCAGCACGAATTTAGCTCCACTGTTTCTATAACTACTTCCTCAGGGTCCAATGGAATTCCAGGGTATCTATGATGTTCTTCCAGCACAACTGTGTTTCCCATTCCTCTGGCCCACCACCGACAATTGTGCTCTGAACTTACTACCAGACAAAAGCTGCATTCTGTCCTTCCCAGTCACCTACCTCCAGCATCAAGTCCATTGCAGCATCACCTATAGGTAATGATGCAAGAGACAGAAAGATTTGACTCTCAACTTCCAAAGCCACATTTAGTTCACAGAACTGACTGAAAAATAAACTACAGCTATCACATTATTCTATTACGTTTTTAGCGCAGTTAACAGAAGTGTTTTTAATTTTTTTAATTTTTTTATACAAAATACAGTATTCAAACTTCCAGGCAACCTAATTTATATAAAACTATAGGATTCAAATATCCTTCCTCTCCACAAGCAAAAGCAGGAGGTACAAGGGACTTACAGTTAAGAACATGTGCTGTATTACCGCCTGACTAGATTCCAATCCATACTCTTGTTTTCTAATTTTAAAAATCCTCTTCAAGCTTTTCACATACTGAAGAGAACAACACAGCCCCTAGGAGGTAGATGAAATGGTCTAGTACACAGTGAAATATTAAAACACAGAAACACCAGGCACAAGACAGTTTGGTGGGCAGAGTAAAGGCCCCATATAGATGTATCTTCAAAACAGACACACACAAGTCCAGTAAATATGAAAAAGATGTCCAGAGCACTTCACTAAACAGTAATTTAAAGGACAAGCATCAACAAGAATTGGAACAATATGAGATCAAAATAGTCAAGCACTACTGATGGCAATGTAAAATGGCATGAGCCACTTTGTGGGAGGAAAAAAAAAAGAATTACATTTTTTTTGATAGTTTCCTAAATGGTTAAGTAGATTTGGGGTGTAGTTTAATGATATAGTGTTTGCCTAGGCATCCAGACCCAGGATAAAAAGAAATGTTATCCAGATGCTGCAAGGCTCAGTACTTCTACTCCGAGGTATATTCCTATTCTTCCTTTTATTTTCATTTTTAAACCGTAGCAGCTCATTAAGAGCCAGAAAAATTAAAATCCTATTCTTCCTTTTATTTTCACAGAAATAAAAACACGCCAACACAAACAGACATAAGAATATCTTAGCATAGTTTTACAACCTAAAGTGGAAACAGCCTAGATGCACATCAAAAGATAAACCCAAATGTGATATAAGTGCCAGTACAATAAAATACTATTCTATAAGCTGGGCGGTGCTGGCGCACGCCTTTAATCCCAGCACTAGGGAGGCAGGAGGCAGGCGGATCTCTGTGAGTTCGAGGCCAGCCTGGTCTAGAAGAGCTAGTTCCAGGACAGGAACCAAAAAGCTACAGAGAAACCCTGTCTCGAAAATCAAAAAAACAAAAAAACACACAAAAAAAAAAACACTATTCTATAATAATGAAGAATGAAATATGAAATATTAAGAAGACATGGCACAGACTAGACTTTAAAACACATATAGTAAACGAAGCATGGTGGCATGTATCTAGGGTCCCAGTCAGCTACTCAAGATACTAAAAAGAGAATCAGGGAATTCTTAACTAGTCAAGACAACATAGTGACACCCTGTCTAAAAACAAAACAAAACAAAACAAAACACTCCAGTAAGTGAAAGAACTAGTTATGTCACATCCTGTAAGAGTTCATTGACATGGAATTTCCAGAACCAGTAAAGACGATGTACGTAGTGGTGTTTACGTTTCCAAGTTCTCCTTTATAGAATGGGACTACTATACTAGCAAAACTATCTGAGTAATAAAAATTGGTAAGATTTATAATTAGTAGCCGG